GATAAAGCAGACTTCAAGGAAATAAGTTAAAAGGGAGCTTTATGACAGAAAGTTGCTTTCTTTCAACCAGGTACAGCCGGTCAGTCTGGCTTTCCCCAGGCTGCTGTTAGTGGTGGTTGTCATATCAGCAGCCAAAGGTGTGGCTTTTTTTCATTCCATTGCCCTTTCTTTTTATGTGGTCTGTGAGCTTCTCTTCATTAGAGTGTCATATATCGCCTCTGCTGGCAACAGCAGCCTTAAACTTACAGGTTTTGAATGGAACTGAAGAGTTTCTGAGTTCTGCCAAGCCATCCATTTTAGGATGGTAATTCCTAATTCACCATTACTAGTTACTCGTTCAGGAGCCTTTCTGTTTGATAAAGGTGACTTTGATTAGGGAGAACTCCTGCAGAATCTAAATACTGTGCTGCTTGAGTAGCAAAGCTGCCTCACGGAGCAACTCCTTGCCAAAGCAAAGCACCAGCAGAGATGGACCTGCCTCGCTTTGCAGCCTTCCAGTTCCTGCCTTCCCTCCCTGGCTACTTGGATTCTTCCCACTATGGGACCTGGAGCAGCCAGGTGCAATGGGACAGGTTTTAAACCCATTGGCAAATGCTGTCTGTAAGCTGATTCATGGGAGGAGGAGAAAGCACTGTTAGCATGGGTTCTTCTTGCAGTTGGATGAGTGAGATCCCTGCAGCACAGACCCCTTGAACTCACTTTGCAGGAAGAAACGTGGCATCTCTTAAGTGTTTATAACATTGGGCAGCAAACTGGGAAAGCAACCCTGGGAGTCAAGAAAACCCATGCAGGTGATGACCATGCAGGAATCCCTGCGCTGGTGGACAGAAACTGCAGGCCTCTGAGCAAATCTACCTGCAAACAGCAAGGCAACCATATTTAGTAGATGCTGCAGAAGGCTTTTGAAACCTGCTTTGTCTTTTCACTGTAATGTTTTTCACTGATGTCCTTGTGGATGATTTGCTCTGTATGTAGTACAGCGTAGTCTGCAGTCCTTTAGACAGTCTTACTGAATGCTGCAGTGCATATTTGTGTGTTTTGAAATCTCTGTAAATGCCACAAGTGACTTAAGTTTGCAACCAGCAAGCCAAGTGTGAAGTGTTTGGTTATCCTAGGGTGTAAACCTTCTGTATTTGGTGTTTTTGATGTCTGTTCTATTTACTCTGTAATTATTTTGTGTCAAAAGCCTACTGTCTGATTTTCCAGTAGCCTTGGAACTAAGTGTGTGTTATCCCAACAAGGCTTGTAGATCTCAATAAAACAGAAGACCTGTAACTTTTTGACCAGCTGTATAACATAGCTACAGCTGACTCAGGGAAGGGAACAGTTCAGGTTTAGAAATCTGGTTTGAATCCTCAATTAAAAAAATATATATCTGTTTTCTCCAATCAGAAAACAATGGTCTGCTAGTACAGCTTGCATTCTTTTGGCTACTTACAGACATTTAGGGAGCTCATTTGGCACTGTGCAGTAAGTCGTTGGGTCTGATTCTGTAAAACTAGCTAATAAAATTAGTCTCAACTCCCAGACTGAAGGCTGTCTCATCTGGACTCCACGTTTGAAGACAGCTGATGCTCTGGTAGGAACTGCACATATCATCCTGACCTACTCCAGTGCGGACCTCAAAATGCCCTCTGGCATTGCCTGCATGTCCTGTGGTTGTTAGTCATAGCCAGCACACCCTGCTATTGTCCAAAAGGAAACCGAGCACTCTGCTTTGGGGGTACTTGGTTTGAAACAAACTTTCTGTCTTCGCTGTCCTCTGGATTTTGAACTAAAATCAGTACAATGTTGCAGGATAATATACCTCTATTTCTAGCTTGGCTGCTGAAAACCAACCCAAAGTTCCTTAATCAACATCCATCTTATTAGTGGCACAATGGAAAAGGAAGCATGTTTTCACAGTCAAAGAGCAAGAAACAGATGAGCTGTTAGATTTGTGTTTACGCAGTACTTGAACATTTCCAGGTGTACTGATGCATCACAATCTTTCCAGTGAGCTGTAATCATCAGGGCAATGAGATTGAAAAATGTGTTGTATCGTGTCAGTGTGGCTGGGCAATTTGATGTTTACACTTAGAGGAATTAAGCCATTCAACCTCTTGAGAATGTAATATTGCTTACCTAGAGAGTTCTCCAGGTTGAATAGAATTTAGAAGTTGGAAAAAGGCGGAAGAGTGAAAAGAGGGGGGAAAAAGTCTGTATTTTTCTTCTAAATGTTTGCAGTTTGGGGTGTGCTGTCTTTCTGCAGACTGTAAAACTAGAAATGGAGTACAGCAGAGGCTACTAGCTATTTGCCTGCTGTAAATACTTCCATAAGAGTGAAACTTATCTTCAGGGTTTGCACTTACATTTTGCATATGAAATAGAGCATGGTATGGAAGACCAAAATGTGGGAGTTTTGAAGCTTGTGTATGAATCTTGATGCATTGATGAGAGTCCGTAGATATTTCCTGTTTGCAAAGAACAGTAGCCCTAACTTTACTCATGAAAGAGCTGGTGAAACATCAGCTGCATCTGTACAAGAAACAGTGTGGTTTTCAAAGTAATTTGAAATGGGGGGCAGCTCACTTTTCTATGGGTAAAGCACAACATGCTGAAGTATGCTAGTCAGGAGAAAATGGCAATAATACCGAGTTCCCTGGCTTATTGATAGTTAGCCTTTTAAAGGCACAGAGTTGCTCTCCTGGAAAGACATGTTCATTAATTACAGGATCTCAGATGTAAGGGCCATTAAGTCCAACGACTGAAACTAGACCTGAATACCTTTTAATTATCTTCCCCTGTTAAAGTACTCTAAGTAGGTATTTCTTCTTGAAGATGTTAGAAACTTGTCTAAAACAGCGTGACCTTGTTATGCTGAACACGCTGTCAGCTTTTGCTAGGGATTCCTTGTCTGATGCTGTGCCTTTTCAGTCAAATATGATCATCCTCTCCCATCTGTTTCAACATATTTTGAAATTTGTTTATCAAATAGCTGCTACCTGTGCCTGATTGCTTTTAAATGGACACCTGCAGATTTGCTGCTCTTATCTTAAAACCTATATTTTGCTTTTCAGAATGCACTCCCCTTTTCAAAGGCTCTGGAGTGAATGTGCTGTGCAGCAAGCAAGAGTCTTTCATTCAGCTCGTCTCTGGACAAAGCATATAGACAATAAGCACTGTCCCTTCATCTGCTGCAAAGGGGTAACCCTGACAGCTGGAATATTGCCACGTCAAAAAGCAGCTGGCAATATGGATGGAGAAAAGGAAGAACATGGTGCTTTGATCTTCACTGTAATCAAGCCATGTGTATTGCCAGTAGCATAATTGCTTTATTTAGCAAACACATCTGGAAATTACTGTAGTGCTCAACACAAGGCAGCTAGAAAATCCTTGTAATTCTATCAAGCACATTAGGCTAACGACAGTGAGAGCCACGTTTCTAATAGTAGGTCCTGCCACAGGCAGATATGAATGAAAGTGTCCACCCTTACAATGCTCCCGTATTTGAAGTCTTTCCCAATGGTCAGAACTCTTATCTTCAGATTACCCAACTGCTATGAGAATGGTTATGAACTATGATTTGTATGAAATCTAGCTGCTATTTTTTTTCCTTCTTTTAAGCAGAAACTTCTCTGGTGAAATCCTCTGCTGAGATTTTGCTAGCACGTGGAATTATTTTTTCTTCACAGATATCTGCATCGTAATCTTGACAGTAATTGTAAACTTCAACTTCAGACCTTACTGGATATGTGAAGTAACGGGAGCACAGGCACAGCAATGGGAAAAGCAGGAGGGAGCAGGGCGAGGGTGTAGGCTGCCGCTGCAGGGAGGGCTGGATTTGGGCTAATGGAAATGGGGACATGGCCAGGGGCCTGCCAGTCCTGGGCTCCCTTCTGCTGAGAGCTTACAGACATTGCAGGTGAGGAAGAGGAGGCTCCTGTGCTTCTTCCTCCTCCCAGTGCCGGCCATGCAGGTCTGGCTGCAGCGTGGTGCAGAGGAGCTGTGCCTATGGCTGGCACAGGCACAGCAGCTCATGTTCTCCCTTGCCACCATCTTGAACCCCGCTGGGTTCTGTTGTTTATCAAGGGGCATCCTGTTGAGAAGAATGTCATCCTAAGATAGATTTCCTGCACTCTTAAAGCCATTTCTGTGATGTGGGTAAATGACTTAACTGTGCTGCCTAAAGGCCTATTGTGGTCAGTTCTTTTATCAGCTTATGGAAGTGTTTGTGTATTTGTGGATTGATACATTTCTCCCAGAGTCTCTCCAGCATTTAAAATGTAGCACTTGTGTATCTCAAAACACTGGTGATACTAAGCGTGCAAAAATCATGGATCAAATCATGTAAAATTCTGACTGGCTTTGAAATTTGAAATTTCAGACCTGTACATGTAGTGCTTTTTGTAGAGTAACATTGTAGGTCGCTCTTGTGTCATCAGACTCCTCTGTGTTTCAAAATCCAGGGATTTCTTTGGTAAAATCTAATTGAGCTCCCTTCCCAAAGTAGCTGGCTTCTTTCTTCTGCTCCTAGTAGCCCTCTGCAGGAATGCAGTGATCAGTGAGTGCACTTAGTGCACTACCAGAACCTGGTGATGGGCCGTCACTACCAGGCGTTATGTTCTCATCCCGTTCCGTGCTCTGTATCTGTGATCTCTCTAGCCCTGCTCTTCATCCCCTTTGCTAACATGTAATCTTGCTGGAGGTAGGGCTGGGCCCTTCTCACTATCATAAGGTGGTGATGTAGCAGAATAGAAAGCACGGTGACCAGTCATACATGGTAAAGAAGTGCGGTGGGAGAGGTTATGCAGGGAGGGGAGGTCTGCCAGGGATGGCACAGGAGACAGAGGGGAAGGGGCTCAGCTTCCATGCTCAGCCAGTCCTCGGTCCTCCCCATCAGAGGACAGTCGGAGACCTGTGCTGACCCTGAGGGTCCTGGCAGGCACAGGGATGCCTCCTGCACTGCCTGGGGCTGAGGCCGTGCCCCAGCGTTAACCATGTCACTTTGTTTGCTCTAGATACACTTTATACTGCTGTTCAGTCGACAGGGGAAATTAAGGCTTCAGAAATGGTATACGACACTACCTGAGAAAGAGAAGAAAAAGATCGTTCGAGAAATTGTTCAGATTGTTTTGTCTCGCAATCAAAAAACAAGTAGTTTTGTTGACTGGAAAGACCTCAAGCTTGTTTACAAAAGGTGTGAGTAATTTTATGAGAACATATAATTACTATTCATGTAAATTATGTGCTACAAGTGGGAAAACAAAGGCTCACTTTAGCACTTGGGGCTTGTTGGTTTTTGTTTTAAAGAGTAAAGATGTTGGGAACCTGCCATTGTGAGTCTAATGGCACAATGGCCCTGGATAAATAAGCAGGGTAAATTCTGGGGTAAAAAAACTATTTGCACTATTTGTCAAATAAGACAAATGTAATAACTATTAGAGGCTGAAATACTATGAAGAGGCTTTTGACTTTGCTCCCCCTTGGCATTCTTTGGGGTGGTCTGCTGACTTGTGTTAGTAGGCTTCATCAGACTCTGAGAAAAGGTACAAGAAGAGTTCTGAGGCACTTTCAGCACTTTGTCTAATTTTATTTTTGAAATATTTGTTGGAAAGTGTTAGTTGTCATTTCCTTTTCCAAACAAATCATTGGCCCCCATTTACACAAAGCGAAGCAATAACTGACTTCTAGTTCTTGCAAAGAGGTAAGTAGTAAACAGTAGTCTTCAAAGAGGTTGAAGACACAGCACACCATACTAAGTGACGTCTCCCATTAAGCAAAAATGGCTTTTCTTGCTGTGAAGTGTTGGATGTAAATGTCTGATCAGAGCTGCTCCAGCCACAGCACCAGAGAGTTGAGGTAGAATCTCATCTTGGGTTGATTTAAATAGAAAGTTTTGGTGCAAGTAAAAGATTGATTGGGCTAACTCGTTTTTTTTTTTTGTTTTCTGGCCCCAAATGAAATGCAGTCAGTCCTTTGACATCCAGCAGGCTTAGTGAGATGTAATGCCTTCCACTTTCATTTTTTCCCATATTTTTATTTTGTTAATAAACAGCAGTGACACATTCTATAGTTTAATGAACCCCACTTACTGTAGTGCTATTGCAGGAGGTGAGGGAGACCTCTAGAGTGCTACTGACTTGCTGCTCATTTTATTCAGACCAGCGTTGTAGGTATTCTGCTTTGACAAGAGTTGGAATTTGCTTTTCTAACTACATTAATGATTTGTTTAAATTGTCAAATCTTCTTCAGGGTTCTCCAGGACACTGTGAGAATGAAAGAAAATGATTATTTTAGAAACAAGGTAGTCATTAACTATCACCTGTGTAACTTCTAAGAGCAGAGCACTGAGCGTGCAGCTGTTCACTCTCATGTTTTTGTCTTTATTTTCCTAGATATGCCAGTTTATATTTCTGTTGTGCAATAGAAGACCAGGATAACGAGCTCCTGACGCTAGAGATCGTTCATCGATATGTAGAACTCCTGGACAGATACTTTGGAAATGTAAGTTTCACTCTCCAACATTGTGTTTCTGGCTGGATGATAAACAGACATCAATAACTTCTTTGTTTTGTGTTTCTTTCTACACTAATTGCCCCATACTCTTCCTCAGTCCAGAGGGAAATTAATAATTAGAGTATTTCATAAAATAGTACCGAAAATAACACAAGATCAATTTTACATCCTTTCTCCCAAAACAAAGTTAATATTGATACCTTATATGTGTTTCTGGGAATAAAATTTAAGTGGAAAGCTTGAGAAGAAGTGTTTTTAAAAAATAACAAAACTGGTAGTTTTAATTCTCCCTCCTCGTATCTTCAGTTATAAGAACAGTGAGTGGTTCCATAGTATTGGGTAAGATGAGAAGAATAAAGTGGAGTTGCTTTTTGGTGGTTTTTTCAAAGAAAAGACCTAAAAAAGGATAGAAATTTATATTTGAAAAAGTCTTCAAAAAGTATAAATGACCTGTCTTTTCTATGAATACTTTTAAAATTGTTCCTACTACTTTAATTCTTCTCTTATCTAAATCACTGCGCCTTGACTCACATTTGTACTCTGTCAAAATAAAAAACAAAACAAAACAGTTGGTGACTGTAAGGTCACTGGGACAGGGGGTTTGTCTCCTTCTGTGAATGTGTGTGAGCATATGTAACTCGTATTACATGTTCTGTAAAAGGCCTTTTGTAAGGCTAGTGGGCTAGGGCAGCAGCTTTGTTCTCTGAAACCCCGCATGTAGGTAGTGCATCATACAAAATATAGTAAGTAGAATATCCTTGCTATATGCAGAAGCTGCAATAAAATGCAGTGTCCTTCACCTAGCTACCTGCCACAAGAGTGCATGTATTGAATACTTTTGACTATTAAAAAAATTTTTGGTCCAATAATGCTTAGAATGCTTTTAAAATAATTTAGATGTGGAATATTTTTTCTTCTGCCAGGTGTGTGAGCTGGATATTATCTTTAACTTTGAAAAAGCTTATTTTATTCTTGATGAGTTTATAATTGGTGGAGAAGTACAAGACACTTCAAAGAGGTCTGCGGTGAAAGCCATAGAAGACTCTGACATGTTGCAGGAGGTAAGGCTGAAGAAGATTAAAGGCAAGCACTTCATCTTCCTACATCTTCTTTGTTGGATAGGAGTTTAAAATACAGCTAAATGCTACTGGTACATAACTGGCCCAATATATCTTAAGTTCAATTTTAATAGTGTAACAATGCAATTAATGTAGCAGTTTGGGAAGCTTTAAGCTTTTCAGCATTCTTGCAATTCAAATGCTATCATTTTTTTGAAGTAGATGGTGGTATGCCTAAGTTATTTAATCATATATGTAAGTCATCTAAGATTATATTTCATGTCTAGGTATGTATACGTCAGTACAGAAAAATCCATTCTGTTTCACTAATACATTGGAAACAAATGACCTACAGTTAATGTTTAAAATAGGAAAGAGCATATGCTGGAAAACTCCATTTTTATTCTTAAACACCTGCACAGCTTTTTTACGAGGCATAGATATGTAACACTCATTGAAAACTGCTGCAGTTTTCTTCTGTAACATGTACCATTGAGTTAGCAATTGCAGGAGAAATTGAATATGATGGGTTGACTTCATTTTTCTGAGTACTGAAGGGAACAGTACACTGGTAGATTTGGCTAGGGAGTTTCCCAGTTTTTTAAGTTGGGCTGGCACTAGCATATGAAACCAGACAAGCTAGGCACAGTGGCCACCTAGGCATGATGAGTTTAGCCACAGTTGTGTTATGTGTTATTTGAAGGTCAGATTCTGAAAGGCTGTTAATATTTTAAAAGTAGCATGATATCTACATTAATCTGGTTTAATTCCATGCAAAACTACAACTGTCCTCAAGTAAGATGAGGGTTTGGTTCAATGATTTTATACTACTCTACTGCTTGATAACGTGTCAATTGTTTCTTTTTTCTCCAGACGGTGGAAGAGTACATGAACAAACCTGCATTTTAATGTTAAAACTACCTGGAAAGAGAACTGCTGTATGCACCTGCAAAATGCATTTGCTGAAATTGCTTCCCAATGTGCCAGAGAAAAACCAAAACCAATAACTAAAAGGGTTTGTTTGTATAAAAAAGATGAAGGTCAGCTAATGTAGCACAGGGTTCAACAATTCTGTATTTGCGTTACTCTGCGTGCAAGTTTCTCAGAATTGTTTTTACCCTTGCTCTAGTTTCTCTTTTCCTTGCTGGACTGAACACTTGTTTTGTATCACATCTTTTAGCTACGGGTTTTGTCATCATAAAATGTTCATCTACCAGTACATGGAAGAGGTATTTCAACTACTTTTGGTCCACTGCTGACCATATGACTCTACTTTTGTACAAATGTCAATTATTTTGAATGTAATGATTATTCTGCTGTAATAATAAGTTTTTTCTAAAAGATGTATTGTTGTGGGCTCTGATTTAATAAGTCTGTTTTGGAAAGATTAACCCAGCTAGTGTAAAAAGAAACTTATTTCTCTTTGATTCACCCACTTTCTTCTAGTTATGCTATGTTCCTTCTGTCTTGTGCTCCACTCTGCCAGTATGGCAGTTCTCCAGCTGCTGTGCTGCTGTTTGATCCAGAAGACTGTTCTGACTTGAGACTGACTTTTTCCAGGTCTCACAAATCCTTTTTGCCACTGCAGGTGGATGGCCTGTTTCTGTCTTCCTGGATCCCCTGGTCCTGGAGAAAGGCTACAGCTGTTGGAAACATTACAGCTTGACAGCAGGAAATATCCTGAAGAGGAGAAAATAGTTTGGGGGATTTTGGGGTCAAGGATCTCATGTATCTTTTGATTAGGTTTCCCCCAATAACTGTCTTTGTCAAGAGAGTTTTATTCCCCAATTCTGACACCTAATATGATGAACTGGCTTTCTAGTCGTTGAACGTGGGCTTTTTTTCTGAAAACTGATCAATTTAATTTACCTTTTATAACTTCATAAGCTCCACAAATGGAAAATGAGTAAAACAGAGAAGAGAATTGGTTGGGCTGTATGCTCTATTATGTGTTACAACACATTGGAGTTATAAGATGTTGTAAATGTGTATGCAGGGAACCAGGTGGGTAAACTTGCCTATCTGCTGTCAGTGCAGTTTGAACTCTATAAACTGTTTGACCTGGCATCCTTGCAGAGATTAATTTTGTCTTTAACAGACTTCAAAGTTGAGAGAAATTCTCTTTATCTTGTCCCATTACTTGTAGTTAGTTATTTTTTTTCTGTCAAGTCATGAGATTGCCTTACACAAAACTCGGGTAAGTTATCAGACAAATATGCCTGAATGATCCAAGCATTGATTTGCATTACTCTTCATCATTTATTTTCTTGGATTTCTAGAATGTACAGTCAGTATTTTCCTTCAGGGATTTTTCTAATCTTTAAATGTGCATGGTTATTGCATGGTTATTCATTTTTTTTTCATTGTACCTTCCTTCCCAGTCTGTTTGTATCTTCCTAGGGAGTTTTTTTTCCTTTTTATTGGTGAGTGGGAGCACTTTGACACAAAATAGTAGCTTTGCAAGTTGTCAGCTCACTTTTCTTCCTGTCTTGTCTCTTAGTGAAACTGTAGTAAGTTGGTTCATAGCATCATGCTGCGCTTTTTATAATTACTTTATCCATCTGTTTTCTCTGTGTTGATGTCAAAGACACACTTTCAGTTTTGAAAAAGTAGTGAAATTGCTGAAGGGCTTTTAATAGCTCTGAAGATGCATATTTTTTAATAGTAAATTAATGAAATTGTAGGAGTTGTGTATTGTTTCCTTCCGATTTAAATTGAAGTTTAGAGTGTTTAATTGATTAAGAAACCACTTATTGTGGTTTCTTATGTGCTCTTTCCAAATCTAGCTCTTTACTTTTATAAGTGTCTTCTGTTCAATGAAATCATTGGTAGTTTCATTTCCCTTCACTCTTTTCTTGAGCCAAACTGTTATTCTTACTCTTACAACTGTTAAATTTATTGAGTTTTCAAGTGTACCAAAATAGAAGTTCCAAAAAGACTTGCTGGTATAAATAAGAATATCTTAGATGTGTCTGTCCAGTCATTTTAAAAAGAACAATAAGATTTCTTTCTCTTTTAACATGAACACAAATCTTATATTCATGTTTTTTACAGCCTCCACTGAGAAAGGGGGTCACTCACGTAAGCGATGTTACTGGAGCATTCAGATCAACCCAACTCTCACTTAGTATGTTGCTTCTTCAGAGAGAAAAGGCCCAGATGAAGCTCAGTTATTGTCAGATTGCCTGTACATCACTGTGTCAATACATCTGTGCCTCTGTCTTCATGGAAGTTTGTTGCCATCCATAGGACTGTGCAATGACTACTGCACTCTGGAGTACAGTTCATCAGAAGCTTCACATTTCTCTTGATATTTCACTTGATTTTTCGTAATGCAGGCCATTGTGTATGTTCTCAAATCTCTTTCAAGTGTTGCCACCCATTTCATCTGTTTGCTACTGCTGTTTCCCTTTTCAATCTGACTTTCCTGGGACATGCTCAAAAGCTTTCTGAGCTTATTACTTAGTGAAATGATTATTTAAAATAAAAAAAAAAGCAACAGAAAATGGATTTCTTAAGTCTTCCCAATTTCACTAACATCTTTTGCAGTTATCTAAACTCTTATCTTGCTGACAAGTTTCAAGCACGTCCTACTCTGCAAAATAGCATTTACTAAAATAACCTTGAATCATGGTCATGTTAGCCTAGATACCCGTTCTTGCTTTTGCCAGCTCCATTTCACAAAAAGCTTTTTCATTTTCTTGTTAACATCTCTGCCTGGAGGATCCTTACTGTGATCTTACCACTTACCAGTTGTGACAGGACTGGTTCTCGGTCATGCGACTAATTGCAGCTCATGAGTTGTGACATCTTTGAACGTATCCTGACAATTGAAGAGAGAGACGCACGTTAGACTGAGATAAAAATAAGTGCAATAGTGGCAGAAGGAATATTACAAAGTATGACAAATCATCATGAGATAGGAGCAGGAGTGTCAGGATCTCACAAGATTCATGAGTTCTTCACGTTTCTGTTACTTTTTTCACTGTACATTTCTAATTGCTGTGGCTTATTGAAAGGTGTCAGCTCTCAAAAATAACTCAAGGGCAACTGGTGTTTTGGTTTCTCTCTTATCAGCCTTTGTTTAACAAAAAGCCATTGAAAGTGAATCTTCAAAAACCTTTCTTTTCCTCCTACAAAAAGAAAAACTTTGTTTTCAGAAACCTGTAGGAAACTTGTTTTGAAGTTTAGATACAATTCTGTGTCTATATTTATGTTGGCAGAATAATGCTGTATTTGTGAAAGGAGTCTTTCGTTTATTTCACATTCCTTCCAATAGATTACACATTTGTTTGCTGTTTTTATCCTCTGCTTAACACTGTGCTGCACTGGAGTAATACAGCATGCAGTAATGGTACTTTAGGGGTCAGGAGGGGTTTACAAGGAAGGATTAGAGGAGTTTAACAGTGTGAGTGAGGCTTTCAAAGATACCTAGAGACACTAAATCAACAGTCCCGTCAAAATAACAAGACTTGATGCATATCCTAAAGAGAGAAAACTCCTACCTGTACTTGTTAATGATGTTCTACTCCACTAAAAATGTGTTTGATATGCTTTTGTTAGCACAGCCTCTGTGTGAGAGGGAAATGTTGCTTTCACAGTGTGTAAAATGTCTACAAGCAGAGGTCTCAATTGTGCAGACAGTCACTGGTGGGGTTTTCATTAACGTTATGAGCAGGGACTCTGCATCATCATTTTACATAAAGGTATTTTTTTTGTTTTAAATAGCTGCCAAGATCTGGTGAGCTCAGAGCAGGTAAGAGCATCTTTTTGGAGAATGTGACGACATTCCTACAGAATTCAATGAAGGGCATGTTCCTTTGCAAGGTCGTAGTAGGAATAAAATACAGTTGACTCAGGATATCTATTAGGATTATTCAGGATGTTTTTTCATGAAGTTAGCAGGTCTAGGTTGAGGTGTAGCAGTGAAAGCTTAGCGTTTAGAGCAGGAACAAAGGGCTGTGCTGCAGGATACTTAATGTTTGCTGTCATGGAAACCTGTTGCCTTGGAACATGACTAATGAGACCCAGGTTAAAGGAAAGGAAGAAGCTATTCTTGAAATTACTCTCCAGCAAACCCTCATGAAGACCAGCAGTATATATTACCAAAACTTACAGTTATTTCAGGTTCAGTTGGCTGATTCATTTAACCTTGTCCTTTTATTTACTTAGCAGCTCTAGTAACAAAGAGTTTTAATAAAAAGACTGCTATGAAATACTTTAAAGCTCATCTCTAGACCTTCTAGAAATAACTAGCTTCTTATTTATGTAATTCTTTCCTAGCGTGATACAGTATTTGTCCAAATTCTATGGCAGGGTCGTGTTGAAAACAAACTGGCAGATGTGAGATGCTGCAGCATGCTGGGAATTCCTACCCAGCAGTTTAGATGAGCTGAGGGAGTTTGGCTTTGGTTGTAGTCGTTCATTTTAAAGAATAGCTCAGATATATGAGCGAGGGTACATATTCTGTGTACGTATTCCTACAGAAAAGGCTGGAGGGGTTCCTTAAAGTTTACTTCCCCTTTCTGTCACCTCCTTTTTCAAGTTCTGCTGAGAATTCTCTTCCAGAGCTCCTTGCTCCAAAACCAGTGTGTATCATTACACAGCAGATTCTGTAACAGAGAGCAGAAATACAGAAGTCTTCTGGGAGCTGACGTTTTTCCTCCTGCAAAGGTGAATTTTGTATGTCTGATTATGAGACCTAATTGTGCAAAACAATGCAGGGTTTGGAATCCCTAGGCACACAGAGTGACAAATCTGTTATGGTTCGTCACGGTTCTCAGCTGCTCTCTGGACCAGGATCTTGCATGAGTAAATGGCCAGCAGCTGTGTGAGCCTCACAGCCTTGCAGAGATCATGCTTCAGGGTCCTCTGGAAGCTGACGGTGAGAAGCCAGCTGTAGCTGAGCAGAGCTGATAACGGCAAATCAGAGCAGAACATCTTTAAAGAAGTTTCAGGTGAAATGATACGTTCTTTCTTTATTTCTTAGTGGACTTGGGATATGCTTGGGGTGAGCTGGAGAACTGTATTGAAAGAACAATCTGACAAGGTGGCAAGAAAGGAATATTCTACAAAAAACAACAAAATGGGACTTGGCTGGGTTTGCAAGGTGGCAGCTGCATTTGGGGTAAAAGAGGATTTTTTTCTGGTGTGTATTGTCAGTGATAAGGTGGTCCAAGTCCTTAAAAAATAGCTTGGGTGATTGGTTTCTGTTTGGCAGGATTAACACAAATTGGTAATGTTCTGCAGGCAAAAGAGGGAATGCAGAGGGCAATGAAATATTAGAAGTTATTTTAAATGTAATAATGAAATGTTGATACATTCTGACATCCCCATCAGGTCAATATGGGGAAAACCCCAACATTTAACATGACAGTTCTGTCTGAAACGATGGAAATAAGCAGAGTGTCAAAAATGTTACACAGGAATGCATACTCCAGTATTCATGTTTAAACCTGGCATAAAAGACTGGACCTCAAGAAATCATTTTGTTCACCCTTCAGTCCCAGGCAGGATCAGCTGTCCTTCAGCTGTATCTGGGTGATATTTTTCTGACTTCTCCCAGTCAGCCTGTGGTGGAGATCCTAAAATGTTCCTGGATAGCCTGTCCAGGAGATGAACTATCAGCCAGAGGGAACCCTTCCCAATGCCCCTCCTCCCCCCAGCTCCCTTTCCTGTAAGATAAGCCCAGCACTTCTTGTGATAGCAAGCATGGACAAAGAAATCTTATTGCATTTCTCTGCGCAGCACGCTTTGAAAGGACTTTGCTTTGCTGCCTGCAACTTCCAGGTAACACTTACAGAACAATGAGGTGAGTGGGCAGCTGTGCCTTCAGGCTGTTGTACCGGGTGTTTTTAACCTCAGCTCCCATGTGTGAGCCATATTCAGCTGTGGCTCGTGGTTGCTTGTCAGAAAATTGAAATAGGAACTGCACTGATGGGAAGTGAATGTTAGTTGGGACCCAAGGATGACATTATGAGGTGTGTGCAAACTTCAGTCCCACTAGGATTTCTTTGCTAAATGATTCTAGGAGGATGCACAGCAGAAGAGATGACAGTGATTGTGGAGTGCTCTGCTGCCTGGGCTTCAGACAGGCCAGTTTTGTTGTGAATTTTCTAAAGTAATGTAAAAGTAATATTGATCTTTACTTACTGTTTATTTATTTGTATAGTTCTACATAGAAGAGCGTTGGGTCTCTAGCAGTCTGTCTGTAATGCTGCTTTTTGTAGAATTATCACAGAATAGTTTGAAATAGAAGGGACCTTTAATTAAAGGCCATCTGGTCCAACTCCTCTGCAGTGAACAGGGATACCTACAGTTCCATCAGGTGATCAGAGCCTGGTGCAGCCTGACCTTGGATGTCTCCAGGGGCAGAGCATCCACCACCTCTGTGGACAACCTGTGCTGATGCTTTGCCACCTTTACTGTAAAAAAAACCTTCTTCTTTATATGCAGTCTAAATCTTCTCTTTTAGTTTGAAACCAATTCCCCTTGTCCTTTCACAACAGACCCTGCTAAAGAGTGTATCCCCTCCCTTCCAGCAACCCCTCTTTAGACGCTGACAGATGCTCTCAGGTCTCCCCAGAGTCTTCTGTTCTCCAGGCTGCGCAGCCCCAGCTCTCAGCCTTTCCTTATAGAGGAGATTTTCCATCACTTTCTGCACTCCCTGATCATTCACCCTGTTTGTGTGTGCCTGGTCACTTGCTTTGTTCATCCTCAGGCTTTCATGCCCAGCACTGGGGTTTGAGCCAGCAAGCAGGAAAAAGTGCAATGTGGGAGCAGGGCTGTACTGAGGCAGCATTCCCCAGCCCTGGCACCGCATGAGCTGTGCCCTAACAGAGTGCCGGTGGGGAAGAGGCTTGGTGAGAGCAGCAGCAGCAGGCTGGGGATCTTGGCATTGCTGGCTGCGAGCGGTGCTGCCCTGCAGCAGCCAGGAGCTGAGCTGTGTGTCTGCTGCCCGCTGCAGGCCAAGAGTGCTCCTGATCAGGCATGCCACTGCAGCCTGCACTGGGCCCTGGGTGCAGAGCTAGCACAGTGCCTGGGTGGCAGTGGAGAGCATTACCTGGGCAGCTGCAAGAACTGCATCTGAGTGTACTTTGAGCACCTGGGGACAGACCCAGCCCTGCTGGTGATGTTCTGGAAGCACTGTCAGGTTCTAGCAGGAGGCATTACGCTGTTGGTTTTGTTTTGAGTCGGGGTCTAATGGACCAGCTTGCACGAGGAGGCACGCTCGAGGTGTTGAAGAAAAACAGAGGTTGACCATCGGAGGGAGCAGTCTGTGAGCACTGCTTCAGGCAAAGCAGCAGAGATGACCCCTGGCCAAACTGTGTGCTTGGGAGGAAGCTCAGGCTGTTATGTTGATACCTTTTTTTATCTTTTTAATGAAACCTCCTTCCTGCCATTTCAGAGGAGTGGAGGGTTTGACGTCATGTGCTGATGAGTCACTGCTTTTAACAGGCCAGCAAGCAGGGACTGAGAGAGCTGTCTGGAGCAGCTGCTCTGTTAATCATTCACAAAAAGCCCAGAGAAAGCTCAAGGGGAATGCTTGTGAATAATTAAATTTCTGTTTTCATTATGAAGACTCAGTTGATTTACCTGGATCTGCTAGAATCCAGGTACTGGGGAGCGAGGGGGGAGGACAGTGATCTCACTGATGTGTTGAAATCCTTGTAAATAGCCTTTGGAGTCCTCGGTGTCAATCAGGCATGTCTATGATTTAACAGTTCCATGCAAAGCTTATGTAACACAGCTCTCATCACCAGCTACTCTGTATCTATCTCCGTAGCTGCAACCTGTTTGACAATATCTGTGTGTTCTAGAGGAAGCAAGTGCCTTAGACAGGGCAAGGTGTGTATTTTACAGAAAGTCTGAAGATCTGCCATATCTCACAGCCTGATGCTATCCACCATATGCATTCCCAAAGGAAGCAGAGCTGCTCAGGTTTGTTCACTAATGCTTCTGCTCACCTATGTCTTTCTTCAGGGAGTTGTTTGGGAGGCAACAGTCCATCATTTGAAGTTAATGCTGATTCAGTATCTTGGGAAGATGTGTTGTACTCATCATTGCCATGATGAGCTTAAACTCCAGTTGCAGCGATCAGAGAGTTTATTAGGTTCAGCTTCAGAAGAGTAGGACTTATCTCCATCAGGGTCCTGGCTGGATACATTCCTGTATGGTGAATTGTTCAGCTCATCTCCATTGTTCAAGTGCTTTAGGCAATAGTTGCTGTCTTTTACCCAGGGATAGAGTTAGATGAGCACTCTTACTCCCAAAGTAATCCCATTACCGAAGTGCACAGTAAAACTAGGAACACAAAGTGTTAGATTAACTTCACCTACGCAGTGGGACTGCTGGGGCACTTAGGGCAGTGAGGTTGCTTGTGGATATCCGCTTCAATCGCCTACGAGGATGTGAGCGGAAAGTTGCTCTTCTGGCTGACATTGGAAGAATGGAAAAAAAAGTATACTATGAAACCACTTGAGTCTGAAAAACCTTTCTGCCTTTGGGCATTGTTTTCATGGATTTATGATATCCCACTGATGTGTAGGCAGAAGCTGTTTTCAAGCTCCTATTCATTTTAAGCTCTGGAAAAGCTGAAATACTGAAGGATGTATTTCTAATAGATTAATGATGTTATATCTAGCTTTATGAATAACCAGAGATATTACGAGATTCAAAGCACCACAAGCCAGTGAGTCTGGGACATGGAATAGAGCCCTGCTTGAATATCACAGCTTAAGGTGGTTATTTATGCTAGCAGGGGAAACTGTATCAGCAAATCAAATCTTGCTTGTGGATGGAGCACATTTTGTATAGCATATGATAATAATGAAAGTCATATTTCAGAGCAAAGTTGGTATTGAAATGCTGTGGAACACTGAAAATAGAAGGAATCAAACAGGAACTTTTGAAGCGTGGGAATAAAACAAAATCAAAAGGAGAAAATCAGTTAAAATCTAGAAAGAACACAGTTTCTGAGGCCTCGTGTCAAATGCCGCGCGGCAGTTGACTCTACAAAAGATGCTTTTTTGATTTGCTTATTAAAGGGACCTACTGAAGAGTCATTGTTCCTGAGAAATCAGATGTGTTGCATAGTTAAGAATCATATTAAAAAATAAAAGTATCTCTATAAGATGTAGAGGCAAGAAAGCAATAAAGCCTGAAGAGGTTATTAAACGCCTCCCAGAAAAATTGCCCATGTGAAACATATTGCAAAACTGAGCAGCAGTTAGCAACAAGAAATCTTCAGAGATGCTGAAGCCTGACTGTGTGATGCTGAGTTCCTTGGAGGCTCTCTGTGTGGACGAAGGCACCTGCAGGCTTTGCTCTGGCTTATCAAGGCTGGATGTATTCTCTTTGCAAAGGGCAGGCAGGTTTACAAACAAGCTTGAAAACTTTCTCCAGACACATTTTTCTCTTCTAATTACGAAGCAAGTATAGTCTATTTTAAAAATAACCGATTCAGCCAGCCATGTAATCCTTTGCTCTCTGTACCCAGCAACAAAGTTTGAATTTGTCTGGAAAAATAATAACTGGAGAATGATTAGCAAGCTCTATCATCGGGATGCAGGCCTGCCTGCTGCAGCTCTGCTTACTGGTCAGAGTGGGTGCTGCAGGAAAAAGCACGGTGCCTCATGGCCACCTCACTTCTAGCCTCTTAGTTTTTGCTTAGGAGAGCTTGTCCAGACTCCTCAAACCTCTTGCCTCTCCGAGGCTGCAGTCAGTGCCTTACTCACACAGCAGATCTTTAGGGGTTCTTGTAACGCCATAGTTTGTGTTATATTTGTCATTAATAATTGATGGATTACTCAAAGTTTGCATTGTGACATTTCTATTCGTTGTTTCCTCCATAAGAACAGTTTTGTAAGTTAAATTAAACAAGTTTAAAACTCTGACGAGATGTTTCTCCAATGCCTTAGGATTTCTTCTGAGCCAGGACTGAGTTTCTTTTCCAGTGTCCATTCTTGGTGTGACACCACCCCACGTGATTTACAAAGAACTATATGTCATGTGTCACCCAAGACATCAGATGACTCCAAGGTGCCAGCTGTGAGCTACCATCATGGGTAAGGCACCAAAGGTCTGCCCTTGGTGCAATTGCTGCCTAATCTTTGTTTCCCAAAGCTCAGAGTCAGTCATGGTTCCAGCCATGTCTCTGTGCCCATGAAGATGGGGCACCCTGTTGCAGAGCATGGGCTGATGTGCGCAGTGCAGGGGCAGGGCTGGTGCTGGCCAGGGCAGCAGGGGCTCTTGGCCAGCAGTGGCAGTGTGGCTGTGATCCTGCTCCCTGCCCTGTGCCAGGAGTCTAGTCACTGTGGAGCACACCTTGAGCCTTTAACAAGACTAAAATTAGCTTTTTTGAGCACCCCCTGCTTTGTCAGCCTGATCCTTGCATGCCACAAGCACTGCTTCCCTATGCTTTATTACAGGAACTCTGCATGTTCCCATGAAGCTGTTCTGCATTTTGAGTGTGATAGTGTGTCTCTGAAGAGAGGCAAGGACGTGTCTGTCTTTTAGCTCCAAGCCTCCTAGAAAACAAGGTCAACCTGATTGTTTTTAGAACAGATGGCTTCCTTCCATGTAGTGGCATTTCCCTGGCTAAGTGGAGTCTGACTACACATAAATATCAAATGCAGCTATATGTAGATTTATGAGAATAGTAGAAAATTACAAGGTTGGGAGAATTCAGAGCTGCTGAAAAATATGACCATATGTATATTTTCAGCCAGCACTTTAAATAACTACTTTTCTTTGTCTCCGATAGGCATCTTTAAACTAAGCTAACTGAGCAGATGACAGGTTATCCCATTC